AGTGGTGCTGCTTGGCGGTGCAATAACCGGCTGGGACTGGCTGGGGCTGGGCTGGGGCTCAGAGCTGGGGGGGGGGACCAAAGGCCACGAGTTTTGACCAAAGGCCACGAGTTTTGACCGAGTTTTGACCAAAGGCCACGAGTTTTGACCAAAGGCCACGAGTTTTGACCAAAGGCCACGAGTTTTGACCAAAGGCCACGAAGACTTTAAGGTTTAAATATACATTGGTAGAGAGGTTTAGGACCCCGACAAGACGAAGCTCTCAACGCTCAGGCTTCTGTCCTGAAGCTCTACAGCCTTGAACCCCAGGGCTTAGGGCTTAGGGCTGAGGGCTTAGGGCTTAGGGTTTAGGGTTTAGGGTTTAGGGTTTCGGATTTGAGAAGGACTGGCCCCAAACCCTATGGTCCTTGAATGGAGTTCCTCTGCAATTAGGTTTTGGGATGTTCTGTATGAAGGTCCCGAAAACAAGGACAAGGATAGCCCTGGGTAGCAAAGATTCTTCAACACCCACTCCGCCTTCCCTGAATCATCCGAAAAAGAATGGGTTCCTCGTCGTAAGGCTTTTCGGACCTGAAGACCTGAAACGTCAAGACTCAAGACAAGCTTGCGGCAGGGCCTTTACGAGTTTCTCGCGCGCATCCCCGTGGCCCTGCAAAGCCCGTATGATGTAGTCAGGGGCGCTGGTCTCACGCGCCAGCTCCTGCAGTGGTTTAGAGTCTGGGTTCAGTTTTGAGGATCTTTGGGGCATTCAAGGCATTTGGCTTTACTGGCCGTTTGAGGGTACAACAGGGCTTTGCAGGACGTTGGGTCCCTCCTCGCTACTGTAGCACAGTTCTAGACGGACCATGGGAGAATCGGATGCCAGAGCAATTAAGAGATTTTTGAGTCCTACGGCACACCGGGAAAGCCCAATAGCCCGGTACTCAAGCAATATAGATCTTGAACCTTACGGATTCCTGCACAGGCTACTGTATCTTATACTATACCCCGAACCACCCAGAACCCTGAAGCCCTTAAACTCCTGAACCCTTCGTCCGAAACCCACGCGCCCAAAAAAACTGAATGTAAACTCCCACATAAACCTCTAAGCCTAAAAGCCTCCAAAGGTCCCCACCTCCGCCCAAGGAAACCCTAAACCCTAAACCCTAAACCTTAAACCCTAAACCCTAAACCCTAAACCCCACCTCCGCCGTAAGCCCCCGCGCGTTTCGCAGGTCCGTCCGTGCCCCTGCGCCCAGGAGGGTCGCAGTCGCCTGCCCGGCAGAAGCTGTGGGCTTCTGGGTCTAGGACTTACGGGTGAAGGCCTCGGGTCAAGATAGGGGTTTCGGGTTTATAGGTTTTTAGGGTTTAGGGTTTATACGGTTTTAGGGTTTAGGGTCTATAGGGTTTTAGGGTTTAGGGTTTAGGGTTTAGGGTTTAGGGTTTAGGGGTTAAGGGGTTTAGGGGTTTAGGGTGCCCCTAGTTTTTCTGAAATCCCACGGACGAGACCCCACGCCCTAAAGCCTGCACCTTGCACCCTCCCAGCCCGAAACTCTTCAGTCAACCTCCGCACCTTTGAAACCCTCAACCTTGAACCTAATGGGCTCTTGTTGGCGGCTTATGGAAATTCATGATGCTTGCAACTTAAACTTAAAACAAACACTCTTGTCAGGGAAGGCCCTGTGCACTCTTGTCATGAACGCCCTCGAGGCCCCAAGGGGGGGCGAAGGGGGCGAGGGGGCCGAGGGAATATCCCCACCTCAAAGGATCCGGTGATGACGCTGCACATGAGGGGCGTTGCCTCATGGCGGGTCTGGCTTTAGGGCTTAGGATGTTTAAACATGGTTTGGCATTAGTAGGGCAGGGCTTTCTGTGTAGGATTAAGAGCGTTGCAGGTTGAGGGGTTGATGTGCATGGTCTGAAGTTCAAAGGTTCGGCTTTCAGGGTGTATTCAGTGTCTCGGGTTTCAGGGCTTTCGTCGGTTTAGGGTTTAGGGTTTCAGGGCTCTCGTCTGGGCTTGGAAGTCAAGAATTCGGGAGTTTGAGAGAACTCAGGGCACCAAGCGCGAACACCGAGAAAGGGCCCCAAACTTAGAGCCTAACTGAACGGACCCTTGTGTAAGCAAGGACCCAACAGGGGTTCCGTAATTTGTACAACCCAAATTTACCCACCTCAATAAGGCCTTAGTGGGACCCATCCATTTCGACCCCACCCCCACCCTGCATCGAACCGCCACCAGTTTGTAACACAGCCGAAAAGCTTGGTAGTGGTGGTAGGCGTAGGAACTCAGCACGGAGGTCTTCCAACGATGCCTCAAACCTGGGCTAGTGCTAAGGTGTTGGGGTTCGGCGACTTCAGGTTTTCCTTTAACCCTGACAGGCTTTAGGGTTTAGGGCTACAAACCCTGACAGGGTTTAGGGCTTCGGGGTCTTCGAGGCCTGGGGTTTGGGATATATTGGGCTCTGCTATTCAGAAGACCATGGCTTCAGGGTGTGTATGAGGTTTAGGGTTTAGGGTTTAGGGTTTAGGGTTTAGGGTTTAGGGTTTAGGGTTTTGGGTTTAGGGTTTAGGGTTTAGGGTTTAGGGTTTAGGGTCTACGCCTGCCGCGGCTGCGGCTGTGCAGTCGATACTTTGCCGTGGTCACTAAAGCATCATGAACTAAGCCCTAGAACCGAACCTGCAAGAACCATCGTAAAAGTTCTGTATACCCAATCATTGAAGCTCTTCCACATGCACAGCACCCAATTTGGGGTTTCGGGCTTCCACCCTAAACCCTAAACCCTAAACCCTCAACCCTAAACCCTAAACCCTAAACCCAAAACCCTAAACCCTAAACCCCTAAACCCTCAACCCTAAACCCTAAACCCTCAACTCCAAGAAGCTGAGGCAGCCAAACCAGATCCCAAGGGGGCTGAAGAGGGGAATCGTCAGCTGCAGGTTCACGTCAGCTCCCAAGCTGATCAAGGTGGACATGACCTTCAAGGACTTAGGGTTTGGGGTGTAGGGTTTAGGGTTTAGGGTTTAGGGTTTAGGGTTTAGGGTTTAGGGCTTAGGGTTTAGGGTTTAGTATTTAGGAGAGGGAGGGTTCCACAGAATGGTGGGTGAATACTGGCCCTGAGAAGGTCTCGAAACGCGCGATCTACAGGGGTGGGGCCATGAGATGCGGGGTTTACCGCTCAGGGTTGGGAGGATTTAGGGCCTCGGGCCGTCTCGATTAGGCGGACATGACCTCTGATTCTGCGGTTTTGGCTGCGTAAGAATTTCTCAGGGCTGTTTCGGGTGGCTGTTGAGGTTTCTGAACGTCTCGCAGGTTTTGGGCAGGTTTTGGGCCGTACGGGGGCAGATGCAGGGTTTAGGGCCATGGCCGGTTTAGGGCCCCTTCGTCTTTTAAGCTCAGGACCCGCCTCTGCAGATCCGCCTCCCTGCAGCATCGCGGCATGCAGCGCCAGGTCGATCTCATCCTCTGTCTGCTTAGTCGGGAATGGGGGAATGGGTTATAGGGACTACTCTAAGGGACCTTAAGGGACTAGGGTTTAGGGTTTAGGGACTACCATAAGGGATCTTAAGGGTTTAGGGTTTAGGGTTATAGGGACTACTATAAGGGACCTTATCATAGGGATCCATTCCCCCATTCCCTACTAAGCACCAGTCCTTCGGCGTGTAGGGAAGAAGGGCCCGCATGGCGTCCACGCGGCCCACGGAAGCTGCGACTCGGAACGGCGAGTAGCCAAGCATGTTTACATCGGTAGGGCTGCAGCCAGCCGTGCAGAGGGCTTTGATACCCTCCACGTTGTTGGAGAAAGCCGCCCAGTGATGAGGCGATGCGCCGAAGCCATCTTTCGAGGTGACATCAGCTCGGCTGCTGATGAGCACACGCAGGGCCTTCATGGGGGTGTGACGAGTTGGGCTGGTAATCAACAGCAGGCTGCCCTAAAGTCAACCTTGACTGAATGCCGCCATGTGTCATTCTTGGTTTCGGTACGATTGTCGTTGGATGCTGTTGCTTGTCGCCATTCTTAATTTCTCCAAGTCCATCTTCCCAAACCCTACGACTGGAACGCCACATCCGTAGCCGTAATGATCATGCATAACCTCACCTTGACTATCCTTCCGGCCACTTCAGTAGCTATCATAGTCGTTGGTCCTTTCGGGTCTGCCGTGCAAGAATTGGCCTAACCCCCAAACCCTGTATCACAATCCACAAGGTCCTCGTTGTTCGTAAGAAAGGCGCACATGTGGAGCAAGGGCGTCTCTTGTCCGAACTGGCTGGCGGGCTCTCTCTGCCTTCCGGGTGTCAGGGTGGAGCCTTAAACCTGCGAACTGCCTTAAACCCGACCCCAGAGTCCTTATCTAAGACTTCAAGCAAGAATGCACAGCCGGATTACAGGTCAAGCTGATGACCCTCAATCCTAGAAGCTAACCATGAAGCCCAGAACTGGAATGAGACTTAGATGCTTCATTCGGTCATTCACGTCCGCACGCTGCTCCAGTAAGGCAGAGATGAGCATGGGACTGCCATCGAGGGCCGCTAAGCAAATCGGCGTCCACCCTTCGGCAGTGCGCTCATCCTCGGCAATCAAACGGCCCTCGTGCGGGCAAATAGCGCGTGGGAATTGCTCGACTTCCCGGGACAGGTTGAAAAATCAAGGGCATATAGGGTATAAAGTAAGGTTGCACAACGACCCTAAGCTCAAAATGCACCCCTAAGCCGAAACCTCAAAACCATAAACCGTTCAAAACTTCTGAGCAGGGGGTCTCACAAGCAGGCTCCCGAAACGGAGAGTCGGAAAGACATCGCAACTTGGAATCTCTGAGCGAGCCTGAAAAAAGTGTGGGGAATAGGCCCTTAAGGGCCTTAATAATCAGAACCGGGTTTTGGGGTACATTATACTACTATTATAATAAGGAACCTCCAAAATAGTATAGGTCATCATTTAGGCTTCTATGTTATGGCTTGCTGTTTGGAGCCTTGGGACTCTGGGCTCCGTTTCAGGCTCGGCACAACAGAGAACAGTCCGTCCAAAGCCAAAAAAACTCAAACAGAGCCTGAAGCACTGGCTCGGAATAAATCGAATGCTTAATACCTAGAAGGTTTAGGGTTTAGGGTTTAGGGTTTAGGGTAAGGCTCTGGGGTTATATTATGCTATATTTACAGTAGGGAACCCACCAGAAAAAAATAGTATAGGTAATGGCTAAGACCCTTATACTATGCTGTAATCCCCCCAAGCACCTTTGAACCCCTAACCTAAACCCTCCAACCCCAAGAACCGAAACAACCCAATACAAAGCTCGGAACACTTGGTATCGCTATCCCCTTCGAGGCTGCGTATAAATGTCCGATCATATACCCCCAAAGCCTCTGCAAATTGTTGAGGCCCCTACAAGCTCTACGTACGTTTTTTAGAAACTACTCCACATAGACCCTAAAGCTCTATGCCACATAAGCCCTATCGAGGCCCCGAACCCTAAACCCTAAACCCTAAACCCTAAACCCTAACTTAAAGCCAAGGCTCGACCGATCGGAAGCCGTTCTGAAACAGGAAGCTGGCGGCCGCGAAGCTCGCAGGATCTTGGAGATTTGAGACGAAGCCCGGCACGAGGCCCTGGTCTTCTGTCTGATTTCCGGGGGGGAGGGGGTCTGTAGAAGGATGGTTTAGGGTTTAGGGTTTAGGGTCTAGATGTTGTGGGATCTTTGTTAGGGTGCTTCTTGCAGTCTTGCATGTACCTTGACTTCGTGCAGTCCATAGAGTCTAAAGTCCAGTCCCTAAATGAATAAACCCCGGAAAATGCATGGAAACCCCAAGCCCACATGCGAGTCCTTCAAACCCGGGTCCTAGATCTACTGCAGGGGCCGTAATACTTAGAATAGGGTTTTGGGGTATATCAACCATACTCACAATAAGGAACCCCCAAAAGAGTATAGGTAATTATTCACCATAATCATAATAAGGAACCCCCAAAATAGTATAGGTAATTATTAACCATAATCATAATAAGGAACCCACGAAATAGTATAGGTAATTATTAAGGCCCCTATAGTAGATCTCCTCTGGCCCTCAGTTTCAGCTGGAGAGCTCCCAAGGTTGTGGGAGCAGTAGCTGGGAGGGTGGCCACCACCTCCCCGCCTTTTCCCTTTTCCTGGCCCCCAAGACCATCCGCAAAATGCCCGCCACCACCACCACCCCCCTCAAACCCACAGTGCTAATATTACAAATGATTAATAATGACGATAGTAATAATGATAGTAATAGCCCTGAAGGGGGGGGGTGGTCTCCCCTTTGAGTTGGAAGGCGTTGGCGGGTGGTATGTCCTCCGACGAAAGGAGGGGACGGGGGGTTCGTGGTAAGCCCTCCCAAGCCGAGGCCGGTTGAGACCGCGTTGCGAAGAAGTCTTTGGCGATAAGGCCCGGGGTCCTTCCCTAAACCCTAAACCCTAAACCCTAAACCCTAAGCCTACTTGCGAAGTCCGTTGACCCTTCAAGTGTCGACCCAGCCTCGAGAGGAACAGCGTCGAGATTGCGATAGTGGACCCTTTGCAGGTTCAGCATAAGCCGGTACTGGTGAAGATCCCCCTGCAAGGGGCTTCAGCGATTTCGGGCTTGGGGCCTCAGGTCATCAGGAGCCTGCAGGGGCTGAACCAACTAAAAGTCAAACCTAGCGAAACCGTGAGAACATGAACTAAACGCGAAGGATGAAGGCCTGGACCACATAGTAATGAAGCTTCCGCCGAACCATTCTCTGCAACACCGCGGCTATCTTCGTTTTGTCTCTATGCACCTCGGCCAGACAGGGCACAGCAAGGTCTTCCACGGCAATCTCCGCCAATCTCAGAATTGGGCTCACAATAACAGCTAATGGACTGACTCCTGCCGTCGTGACCAGTAACGTCCTCGGCACCACCATCATCATCATCATCTTCTTCTTCTTCTTCTTCTTCTTCTGCTTCTGCTTCTTCTTCTTCTTCTAGGGCACCGTCGCCATGAGAGTAATCTGGATACGAGCACATTACATGGGAATCGGGGTGCCGATCGCGATGATGACAATGACACTGGCCATGACAATGACGATGATGAGAACAGTTTAGAAGATGTCCCCGCGCTACTTACCGCTATTTCTGAGCTTTCTTACTCAAAGAACTCGTTGGCGACATAGGTAGGTTCATTCTCGCCTTGTTCAATTACTACTCGCTGTTCTTCTTCAATGGTATGGTCATGCTGAGTCATGCTGGTAGCACCCACCGGCATCCACCCCCTCCTACTACGAGACGGCAGGGAAAAAACTGAACCCAAAACCCTACACCCGAAATACCCAAAACCCTGCGCCTAACACTCCGAACTCGAAGCCCAAACCTGAACCCCGAAACTTCCTACATAGATTGAAGATCGTCTCAAACCTATTCAGGAGGGTGCGGGTGTGAATTTTGGGAACTCTAAACTCCTCGCCCAGATGCCGTGAAGCTCCCTTCGCCCACCGGCGCCTGCACGAATCCAAAAGCAGGCGCCTGCGCCTGGGCTGAAGCTTTTAGGCTATTGGGGGCCTTTGGGGCGTACTCCAGTGTGCATTCCCGGAATACCCTTCGAGGGCCGGGTGTGGGGCGCATCAACTGCCAGGACGGCAAGGCATCACAGCAACCCCCGGGGTGTAGGTCGTTTAAAATTTCGAGGCCTCAGTATCTGTAAGTCATCTGACATGACATGAGAGGTTCCACAGACGCCCGAAACCCTTCCGGAAGAACCCAGACTCAGACAGACGGCCAACAGGCTTGACACATGGACAGGCCATAAACAACAAGCGGAGACACGGTGTCTCTGCCCCACCCCGTGACCTCTGCCTCAACCTCAAAGCCATGAGGCCCAATCCCTAAGGCTAAGGCCCAAACCCTAAGGCGCCCTACGGCCTAAACCCTAAGGCCCAAACCCCAAGGCCCAAACCCTAAGGCACAGGGCCTGGTAAGTGGCACCCTGGATCTCGATGGAGACCCCGGTGTCTGCGCGGGTGCTCAACTCTCGCGCCATGCGCTCCAACCTTTCGGAGGCCGAGGGGTTCCGATGGAGGCCAAAAGGGGCGCAGGCTTTCTGGCGGTATGACGGTTCTGTTTCTTGGATTGAGGCCAAGAAGCCGAAACCCTTAACCCTAAACCCTAAACCCAAGAAGCCAAAGGGATGTGAGGCTGAGGAGTTGAGGGCTTGCGGTCCAGGGTGGAGGGTTTCGGACTAGGAGTTTAGGGCCTAGGGCCGGGGGCTTGTGCTAACCCCTTACTATGTGAGGAACCCCGAATGTTCTTCAACCAGGCACTCCTTTGAGAAGGGCACCCTGAATTCCGAATTGATTCTTCATGGTCGAAGAATTTAGGAGGTTCTCAGAGGGCGGCGGCCTACACCAGCCACGGCTTTCCCAGCTGCGGCGATTCAGCAAAATCTCCTGTCGCTGGGTAGGAGGGTATGCCCCCTCACTTCGGGAATGATGTACCCTGGATGATGTACCCGTCATCACGATCAGCAGCCCCAGATAGCTTAACGGGAACGAAAGAATATCGCCTTAGTCCTGACAAAACCATATAACTTCAGGAATCTTTCATCATTCTGGGCACATGGAGTAAGAGGCCTAAACCCTAAACCCTAAACCCTAAACCTAAACCCTAAACCTAAACCCTAAACCCCTAAACCCCAAACCCAAGAGGAGGCTTTAAATTGGAGTTGAGGACCAGGGGCTCGGCACTCAGCCTGTAGGTCTTCGGGTCCAGCATAAGAGTTCAAGGTTTGGGGTTTAGGGTTTAGGGTTTAGGGTGAGGGTTTAGGGTTTAGGGTTTAGGGTTTAGGGTTTAGGGTTTAGGGTTTAGGGTTTAGGGTTTAGGCCCTGAAACCACCAGCCCGCCTTAGAAGCGTTTCGGGTCCTTCTGCTCTTGGCGGACATGGGGGCAGAGGATTGTAAAAAACTGACAGCGGTCAACGTAGGCCTCAGCTTTTCGACACGCAGGGCCCCGGCAACGGATCAGAGTTGATGGAAACAGGTGATCTAGCTCTAGCCTGACTGGCTGTAGCGATGCAAACTAGCTAAAGACGTCCACAATACCTTGTACAAACAATGAAGGCGTATGATAGCAAAGCTGTGCAAGAACGATCGTCAGCATAGGACGGTCAGCACAGTGGCCGCTATTGAAACCCACGCACAAGACCTTCAACAACAGCAACACAAATCAACAACATCAGCACCACATGCTGATCAGTACTTGAACATTCATGTGTTCTTCCGTGTGAACGTACTTTCCCGACAAACCCCTAAACCCTAAACCCTAAACCTCACTCTGAAACAGGGAGTACTAGCCGCTACAAGCCCGAAAACACATTAGAAACAAACAGCAGCTCAGATTCGTCCTCGCCAAAAGGAGCATGGACAGAGGAAAGCAAGATTGGTCAAAAGGGGCGGTATATTTCGCATGCACATATATGTATATACATACATACATACATACATACATACATACATGCATACATACATACATACATACATACATACATACATACATACATACATAATATATATATATATATATATTCAGAACTACTTCGACAAGCACAGGACAATCACAGTTCTTAACACGTTCTGGGTCCACAGTTGTAGCCAAAGTCTTATCGAAGCCCGATCCAAGCAAGCAAGCAAGCAGGCAAGACAGGACAGGACAGGACAGGACAGGACAGGACAGGACAGGACAGGACAGGACAGGACAGGACAGGATAAGACAGGACACACAGGAGACAGACGCAGAGACAGACAGGACAAACAGGACCGGCAGGATAGA